GTTGTGTTGAGACAGTGGGAGATGGGGTCGACTTAGGGGACATACTAAGAAGTTTGTTTTAGCCGTGTTTTGAACTTTGATCTTATGGCAAGACACTCATGAGAACATGATGCAGAAGCAGGCTGAGACTTTGGCTTGGGTGTAAGAAAACAAGTCGGGAGTAGATGCACCTCTGGAAGTCAAGAAAAGGACAAGCTTTCAAGAGCAAATTTCCTGATGGGGTCAAAGATGACAGATGAAATCATGGATAACAAGGATGGCACGATTCTGAGTTTTGGCTAGTAAAAGGTAATTGAAGACTTGGGAAAACCCTTCTTGCGTTATACAGACAGTAAAAGTCAGGTTAGAGATTCTGTGATGAAAGGGAGGTTCACTCCGAGCAGCCGTTGTAAATACTACTTTGCATTTTGTTCACCCATAAACTCACTCAACGGTGCTTGGACAGGGTGGGGTGAGGTGAGAGGTGTGCTTTAAAGATAAAATCCACATCATCCAGAGATGTACTTCTCTGGCAAATAAACCAGAACAAATGGAAAAAAATTGCGGAGGTGGAGTTTAAGAGGAGGAAGTGTGGGGGTGAGTAGTCAGATTCCTGGTGCAAGCGGAGGGGATGGAGGAGCAGCAGCTTTATCTGTGATGGGGAATGGGGAGGGAAAATTTAAGGGGTATGGGATTTGTGGTCCTACACCATCTCTCTTAGTGACTAATGCTTGGTCAGCCAATTATTTCTTTTCTCAACAACTTTCATCTCCCCTGTTCCCCATTCATCTTCCCCATCTCAGGTTCCTGCACTTGTCTGTCCTGTCTTCTGCATCTCTCGGGAATGCGCGTAAGGACATAGTTTCATAGTTACAGGGTCGGAAGGGATCCCCAGGGTAGGGGCCAGCACCACCTCCCTTGGAAGTTGGTTCCAGCTCCTAGCCGCCCTAACTGTGAAGTAGTTTTTTCGAATGTCCAATCTGTACCTCCTCTCCATCAACTGGTGCCCATTACTCCTTGTTATGCCAGCGGGGGCTAGGGGAAACAGCGTCTCCCCCAAACCCTTCTGGTTCCCCCTAGTGAGTTTATAGACGGTCACCAGGTCCCCCCTCAGCCTTCTCTTGTGGAGGCTGAATAGGTTCAGGTCCCGCAGTCTCTCACTGTAGGGTCTGCCCTGTTGTCCCCGGATCATGCAGGTGGCCCTCCTCTGGACCCTCTCCATGTTGTCCACATCCCTCCTGAAATGGGGCGCACAGAACTGGACACAATACTCCAGCTGCGGCCTGACCAGCGTCGCATAGAGGGGGAGGATCACCTCCCTGGCTCTACTCGAGATGCACCTGTGGATGCACGACAAGGTCCGGTTAGCCCTGCCAACCATGACCTCGCATTGTCGGCCCATGTTCATCTTGGAGTCAATAATGACACCAAGATCCCTTTCCGCCTCCGTGCTCTCAAGTAGGGAGCTCCCCATCGTATAAGTGTGCTGCTGGTTCCTACTACCCAAGTGCAGCACCCTGCACTTGTCCGTATTGAAACACATCCTGTTCCTGTTTGCCCACCCCTGTAACCTATCCAGATCCTTCTGCAATCTCTCTCTCCCTGCTAGCGTGCTCACCTCCCCCCAAATTTTGGTGTCATCAGCGAATTTAAACAGGTTGCTTTCCACCCCAACATCAAGATCGCTGATGAAGAAATTGAACAGCGCAGGCCCCAGGACCGAGCCCTGGGGGACTCCACTACCCACCTCCCCCCAAGTCGAGTATGATCCATCCACCACCACCCTCTGAGTGCGACCCTTCAGCCAATCTGCAATCCATCTGACTGTGTAGGCATCTATGCCACAGTCGCCTAGTTTATTAATTAGGATGGGGTGAGAGACGGTGTCAAAGGCCTTGCTGAAGTCCAGAAAGACTACATCCACCGCGACACCTGCGTCCATGGCCTTTGTGACCTGATCATAAAAGGCAATCAGGTTGGTCTGACATGATCTCCCCCTAATAAATCCATGCTGATTGCCCCTGAGCATCATCTCGGATGCCGGCCCATCACAAATGTGCTCCTTGATGATCTTCTCAAAGAGCTTCCCCAGGATTGAGGTAAGACTGACGGGCCTATAATTGCCCGGGTCCTCCCTTTTCCCTTTTTTGAAGATGGGGACCACATTAGCTACCTTCCAATCGTCTGGCACCTGGCCCAAGCACCACGATCGCTCGTAGAGCCGTGCCAGGGGCCCTGCAATAACCCCAGCCAGCTCCCTCAGCACCCTGGGGTGGAGAGCATCCGGACCCGCTGACTTGAACGCGTCCAGCCCCTCCAGAAGCTCTCTAACCCGGTCCTCCCCAACCTGAGGTCTGAAGGCGATCCCCTCGCGTCCGGCTTCTATCACAGCAGGGAAGTCCCGGTCCCTGCACAAGAAAACGGAGGTGAAGAATTGGTTAAAGAGGTCCGCTTTATCCTCTGACGCAACCACCAGATTGCCCCGCATATCCTGCAGGGGCCCCACATTACCCGGCGCCTTCTTCATCCTCCCAATATATTTGAAAAAGGACTTTTTGTTATCCTTAATCCTGGACGCTAATCCGAGCTCTATCTCCCCCCCGGTGTTTTGCTTTATGCTGACCTTGCTGATGACTACAAGTTCCTCTTCCTAACAAGTATTAGGTTTGCTTTTTCCTTGACAGCTATTTTTCATCAGGTATCTGGACCTTTCATTGTTAAATCTGTAGAAGCAGCTGCAAAATAGGTTGAGCACCTTCTGACAAATAAACACTCAGCAGACCACCAGTTAATATTTTTTGGCGCACAGTTTGCCAGCACTTGATGTTTAATGCTGTTTAAAATTTTTGCTTTTTGATGCTATTTTGATTAATTATTATAAGAGTAATTGCATATGTATTTGCTTTTGATTATGATAAAATGTTGCATTTTTAAATTCTAATGAGAGAGTTATTTTTTCAGTTATTAATAAATTCAGTTGTGAATGGAGCAAGGCAATAAGTAAAAATGATTTTACTAGTAAGAAATGTGAGGTGCCAGTAGTTTAATGAAGGTCACGCAGGAGTGTGTGGTAGAGGCAGGGGTAGAGCCCACATCCTGTACTTTATCCACAAGGCCAACCTAGCCTTTGTTGTCTGGTGACTCAGAATATTTCTGCTAAATTCAGAAGAGTATAAATAAAGACCCATCGACAATCTATTATCTGCAGAAATATATTTGCATGGGTTGCTGTACCTTATCTGCTAGTTTGGGGCTAAATTTACAGTGGATTGCTTGTCTTCCGGTAGAGAAGGTGCAGTAGTGTGTTATTGCTGCTACTCTATATATTACATGACATTCACACAGCAGTAGTAAATGATGCAGAATATCAACTAATTTATTTTAAATCTTGTCACTAGAAGAAATTAATTTTGGGATTTTTACTAGCATTTCAAAGGTTATCTTTATTTCGGCACACAAGCTATAAGTACAAGGTAATAGATAGCAGTTCTAGTTTGTAAAAGTAATTTCAGACATTGAGACGGCTAGCTATTCTTAATGCTTTTTTTTGCCTCCCCTCCTCCCCCTTTTTTCACTCTTGCATCATATCCTCATAGATGTATATACAAGAGCATGAGGAAAGGAGTTGAACTAGTGCTTCCGTGGAGGAACTAAGTAGTTCTGAAGAATTGATTTATCTGTATTTCACACTTTAAGGCTTATCTGGCACAATTAAAATCTTTACTTTTTTGGTTAAGTACACTTGTCTATAAAGTTTTAGTCCTACAAGAAAAGAAGTTTTTAGTCCAGCTAGCAGCATAGGGATCCAGTGGCTGCCTGAGGCACAGGGATAGCAATGACATCCAGTTGCTGCAGACACAGCTGCCAGCAGCAACTGCCCCTTTTGGATCCATCTTCTTCTGCCCCCCCCCCCCCCCCCCCCCACCATCTTCTTCTGCCCCCCCCCCTTCCCCCCCCAGGTTGGCATCTGGAGTAGCTACCCCATTTGCCCCACGCTATTACAATGTTTGCAGCTGCTGCTGAAGAAACCTTATTTGCCACAGAAGTGCAGCTGCTGGTAGATAAAATCACTATCAGGGGCTATACTCTTCTGTCAGAAAAAAAATAATGGTTTCTTAAGTTGTACTTCGGTGATCTAGGTCTGGGGGCCGCTCCCCTCTCCCTGGCCTCATGGGTCCCTGCTTCCTTTTCTGACCATTCAGTCCACTTACATTTTGAAAAATACACTTGAGACAAAGTCACAAGAGCAAGGTAAGTCACTTCAGCACATGTATGCTGTTCCTGGTATACATTACTAATGGCATATACTTCACATGGAATATGTTATAGGAAAATGTAGTTGTGTGGCTTTTGCAGAAGGGATGTCCATTAACTCCATGCCTGAAGCAAGGATGAACCAGTGGCATGGTTTTCCTTTTGACATTGAAGTAATTGGTTATACGTTCTCTCACAATATAGATGTAACTCGGGGGATATATATTACTTTTTCCATAGTGCTGAAAAGAACAACATTTGTTGTTTAACTGCACCAGGCTTCCTGCAGCATGGTCCTTCAAAGGCTTCTACACAGGGGTCAGAAGGAGATGGGAGCAATTCCTCTGTGTATACATCAAAAGGGTACAGTGTGACTTAACGACAGCCTTTATTTCTGTAAATGAGGTTTCCAAATCACCGTAAAGTTATTGTGAATCTGACTGGTCTCTAAAGCTCTACTAAGGTACCTCCGCATACACTTTCAACAGAAAGTCACAAGATAATAAATGTCGTTGAAAATTGTTTTCACATCACTGTGCCTTTTAGTGTTATTTTACAGTAAATATAACTGAATCAAACTACAGAGATAAATGCCAAACTATGAATCACGCTGTGACAACTTTTTGTAAAGAATCTTTACCCATTCTTCTTGCCTAGCTCTAATAATGAACAACAGGAGCAAAATTGACAGGAGACTACAGGAAAAATATGACTGTGGAAAGACCTAGACTGTGACATCTAACCACAAATGTTCCTCTTGCTCACAGGGGTCGTGGAGGTGTACCACCCCCACCAGCAGGAGTACCACGAGGGGCACCTGCCCCTAGGGGGGTACCTCCAAGTAGGGGCCCGGTCAGTCGTGGTCGTGGACTTCTAGCCCCCAGAGCAAGAGGAGTTCCTCCGCCTGCAGGTTACCGGCCTCTTCCACCACCGCCAGCACAGGAAACATATGGAGAATACGTAAGTGAAACCTTGGATGCATTCTTGGCTGTGTCAAGCCTAATTACGTTGCTATTATGATATAGGTTATATAAGGACTTGTATGGGAAGGTTTGGATAGTGATGATCATGCCTCCAGCAAGGGGTTAGACTAGATGACCTCTGAAGGGCTAGAAGGGACCTACTTTTCTATGATCCTGTCTATATGCAAGATTTCAAGCTATCATTTTAGAATTCAGTGAAACATCTGTGATCTACACCTCATGTATATTATTAGCACAAAACTTTGTGTTCTTTCTCAATCTTTGGGAAGTTGTCATAGTCCATTGGGGCTCAAATTGCTAAAAAATAATTTAGTGCTTTTACTTACTATTCCATTACATTTTACCAATATAGCATGAGAATGAAATGGGAGTTGAAAAATTAAAAGAATAAAGCAAATTCTGCAATGAATTTACTGCAGTTTTTTGCTTGTTCTTATTAATTGTGATACTAAAAAATAAATAAATAAATTGCAGTGTTGGTTTCCTAGGGTTTAAGTATGAATTAGCCAGGTAGTCCTTTAACTTCTTAAGTCAAGTAGCCCCTTAAGCATCTAATTGCACCAGAAGTTTTGTATTGAAACTGTTTTAGTGTGGTTTTAAATCCTGCTTAACCATGATGACCCAAAATATGCTGAGAGCCAAATATTTCATTTTCCTTATTTAGAGAAATTATATTGTTCTGTGTGTAAACACTTAAGAAGCGTCTGTATGGTTAAGTATAATGTAAACCTGTTGTGCATGATTAACATGGATTCTAGGGTGTGAAAACTAAGTTAAGTTTCATGTGTGCCATGTAAGGATTTTTTTCATGTTATTGTATAAACTTGAAATGGGGGGGGGGGTGGAAATTATTTATTTTTTTTTAACTTGAGTTCAAGAATAATCCTATTTATTTTAATGTAGTTCTTAACAGATAGATACTTAACACACCTTGCTTAAAAAAAGCTACCTTCATTTTGACTTAATACAGAAAGCTAGTAGTTTGGGGGACATAGTGATCTTCCTCCTCCTACCCAACACAACAAATACACACAGATTTGATATTAAAAATAGAAATTTTCATGGACAAAGTTGCTTTTTCATTTGAGGAAGCCATAGCAGTCCAATTTACAGTATGTGGGAACATCAATAAGCTAGTAGAGCATCAGTGCTTGATCTTCTGGTACTTAGACTGGAAGAGGACGAATTGTATTTCCTAAGCAACTGCTCTGCAGGAGGTCTCAAAGGGTGCGTGTACCTATGACATGGGTTTAGTCCCCTAAATTGAAACGGTGGGTTTTTAATTGCAGTGATTTAAAAACACTGTTTCAATTTAGGGGCTTCTGTTACTGTGACATGAGGGGCACAGTTCTTCTCCCACCCTCCCCTGCCCCTAGGGCACCTGCCCTCCCTCTGTGGACTCGAGGAAGAGTTGAATCTGGCGGGTGCTGCTTGCGAGCTGTGGCAGCACCCATGCAGCTAGCATCGTGCTTGGATAGCCCCGGGGGGCACCACCGTTACAGAGGGAGGGCCTGGGCATGCACCTCTCCCCTAAGCCTGCAGCTTAGGGGCTGCTCGGCCCACCAGCAGCTTATGTGGGCAGGCTGTCCTGGGGGGGGGGGGGGGGT